TCAAGGTGGCGCCAGCCACAGGGAAGCTGGGCTGCATCCAGGCCCCTCCTGGGAGCAGTCAGATGATGGGAGCTGTCGTTTCTGGAGTTCCACCCCGCTCTGGCTCACGGTGTGACCTGGTGGCATGCAGTTCCCCGGCTGGAAACCTTCAACCTGGGGCCACCACAGCCCCACTGGTGCCCACAGACATGGTCAGGAGGCCAGCAGGTGGAACGAAGGACTCCAAGCCCTCATGGAAATGTGTCTGCCCCTTCCCCGGACCCCAGCCGCTGGCTCCATCGTGGCCCTTGGCAGACGGTGGATCTGCTGGGTTTCTGGGCCAGGGCTCCACCCTGGACATAGCTGCATACACAGGTGCGCCCCCCTTGACTTCACACAGCTGCGCATGCAGGTGCTGGGCTGGACGTACTCAGAACAGTGACCCATGGGGAGAAGTGGGAAGGAGCAGCTTGAATGTCCTGTCTGGGACCCAGGAACCCGCCTGGGCCGGGTGGTAGGGGAGGCTTCGAGGAGCTGGCATTGGCTAGTGCTGACCCTGGGCAGCAGGGATGGGACACGGGGCGGTGAGTGTGGTCTGAGGAATAGGGAATGGCCTGGGAGCATCATCTCTAGCTCTGAGGCTGGGGGTGGGGCTGAGAAGGGGGGCACCTGGGAGGGGCTGAGGCCAACCTCACCTGTTCGCCCAGGCCTGGTCTGTGAACACTCTCAGCCACACAGACATGGACGTTCCCAGGAAACGCTCTGATATGTGTGGCATAAAATGTCGCACATCATTTCTTGCCCCTTTTAAAGTGAAACGACAGTCATTTTTGTGGGAACTGCCTGGGGGCGTTTCCCCGAGCGAGGTGGAGGCGGAGCAGAGAACAGACGGAAGATCAGGGCTGCTCGCGTCTTTATTGTTCAGGGCGGGGAGGGGGGGGGAATACACAGCCACATTGCAGTCACTGAGCTTGTTAAAAATATCTCAATAAATAAAACAAATAAGCAACATATACACTGAAACGGAAAATATAAAAAACTGGTTACTGAGCGAGTGGTGGAGAGAGAAGGAGCAGGGGGCGGAGCTCCAGGTTGCTGGGAACAGCATGCAGGGCGGGGAGGGCGCAGGGCCTCTCTCTGAGAGCCTTGGTCCAGTTTCGATAGAAGGGTACAGGGATGCATTTCTGTTTTATTAAAAAAATATACATTACACAAAGGTACTTGGAGGGAAATACAAATGCAAAATCCAAATCCTCATAAATGTGCTCCTGAATCTAGAGTTTCCAGAAAAAATACCCCCTCCCCCCCCCAAAAAAAAACAAGAAGAAAAATCCAAACAGTGGCAAAGGTGACCACGAGCGTGTCACCAGCAAGAAGGACTGTGAGTGCCCTTGCTCCGTGGGGCCGTCTCTGGGGCAGAGGGTGCCGGCCGGGTCTGCGTCCGACGCTGTCGGCGTCCCCTTGTCTGGGGTCTTGCTGGAGAGGAGAGTGGGCCGCTTCCTTGAGGTTGTTCGGGTTTCAGGATTCCAGGCTTGGACGCACCCCATTCCTCATGCACCTCAGCCCCACGGACAGTCTGGAAGACAAGCAGGAGGGCGAGTGAGATACCACCACCTCCCTCAGCTCCAGGCCGCCCGTCGAGGGGCCCGGACAGCACGGGACAGGTGCCTCCTCCCGTCCTCCCCAGCAGAAGCTGGACAGGTGGCCACGTCAGGGCCACCAGGCATCTGCAAGCTGCTGACCTGCACCCAGGGCCCAGACCAAGCACCGTCCCCCACCTCCACCCTCAGCTCCGGCACCCACTGAAGGGCTCTCCCCTGCAGGCTCTGCAGGCTCCCCAACATGTGAGCTTGTGTCAGGGCCAGCAAGTGAGGAGTGTGGTGAGGGGGGAGGTGAGGACCCAGCGAAATGAGATGACTGGCTCCTGGCCTCTTGCCTGCTGTTGGGGGCTGCAGGCTGACCGCCCAGTCCAGCCAGCCTGTGTGGCATCATCGTTCCCAGGGGCCTGAGCTTTAGGAGGGGTCCTACAGCCTGGCCTGTGAGCCCTCGGGGGTGAAGTGCCCACCCTCAGGCCGGTGCACACGGCACTCACTTCCATGACTGGGACACACGTAACCATTAGACCCCAAAGGAGGCGGGCTGTTCATGAAGATCCCTTGAGGCCCTCCCTGCACTGGCCATGCTGGCTCTGGGGTGACCCTATGTGAGGTGTATGTGCCCTCACCCAGAGGTGTGTGTGGGGAGCTGGCTGTGGATGTAAGTACCCACAGGTCCGCAGAGCGGCTAAGGTGGGGGCTGGGGGACAGAGATGGAGGTCGGGAATGGATTCACCAAGGAGGAGGCGGGAGACAGGTCATTATGAAGAGGTGGCTGGGGGTGGGTTGGCAGGGGCAAGAAGTTGAGGAGAGGCACCCCAGGTCCTGGGATGAGATGTGTAAAGATGCAGTGATGGGTAACATCCTCAGCAGTGCGTTTGTGAGTGTGCGTGTGTGAGTGTGTGTGTCCATGTGAGTGTATGTGTCTGTCAGTGTCAGTGTGTGAGTGTGTATGTGTGAGTGTGTGTGTCTGTGTGAGTGTGTGTCAGTGTGAATGTGTCAGTGTGAGTGTGTCAGTGTGTGTCAGAGTGTGTCTGTATGAGTGTGTGTATCTGTGTCAGTTTGAATGTGTCAGTGTGAGTGTCTCAGTGTGAGTGTGTCAGTGTGTGTCTGTGTGAGTGTGTCTGTCAGTGTGAATGTATCAGTATGCGTGTGTTAGTATGTGTGTCAGAGTGAGTGTCAGTGTGTATATGTGTGAGTGTGTATCTATGTGAGTGTGTGTGTCTGTGTCAGTTTGAATGTGTCAGTGTGTGTCAGTGTCAGTGTATGTATCAGTGTGTGTCAGTGTGAGTGTGTCAGTTTGTGTCAGTGTGTGTGTCAGTGTGTCTCTGTGTGAGTGTGTATCTATGTGAGTGTGTGTGTCTGTCAGTGTGAGTGTGTCAGTGTGAGTGTCGGTTTGACCCGGACGCTGCTCAGCTGAGGGCGGCAGGTGGGTGTGCTTCCTCCCGTGGAACCCCGAGCTCCACGCTGACACCCGCTCCTCAGGGAAGTCTAGAGCCTTTGCTGAATGAAGACAAAGGGCTGAAGAGATTCAGACACACCTTCTCTAGACCTCGTGAGCGCGCGCACACACACGCGCGCACACACACACACACACACACACACACACACACACGCTTCCTTTCTTCCAGTTCAGAGCACTCCAAATGCGAAGCCTTTCTAAGCGGCCCTGGGCAGGGCGTCGGGCTGTTCTCCTGGAGAATGTGGTTGTAATTAGATAACTAATGGGGGGCTGGAGAGGCCTAAGTGGAGCCCTTCCTCGGTGGGCGGGGCGCTGCCAGGTTTCTGATATAGGAGCTGCCCGCGCCCTCCAGGGGGAAATGCAGGCTCATCCACGAAAAGCCAGCGATGGCGGGGCCATCCCCACGCAGTGGTGGGTTTCAAGGTTGGCTCCACGTGCCCGTGGGGGCACAGGGCCTGGCAGAGACGAGCGGCGGGTTCATTAGTCTTCCTGACGAATAGCCTCGGGGCCCGGCCCCTCGATGTCACCCTGACCCCGGCCATGTCTGCTGACATGGACAGCGCTCTCAGCAACAAATGTAAACCATCTGGGCCCAGGCCGCCTCCCGTGCATGAGCGCCACCTGAAAGCCTTGCGTGTGTGCATCTGCCTCTGCCTGACAGCCCAGGAGGGGGCGGTGGACGGAGCTGGAGCCTCCACCCTCCCCCACACCAGACGGCCGGGTCTTACTCAACTCTGCCTCCCCAGGACCTGACACAGGGAGTGAAACATCAATGACATTCTCCAGAAAGTGAGGCCGGGCTGGGCTTACGGGGAAAGGGTTTGCTATGAGGCTTTCCATCGACCCACCCATTCACCCATCTACCTGCAAACCAGTCACCCAGGTTCCCATACCCAGTCCTCCCTCCCTCGACCACGCTCCCCCTTCCTTCCACCCACCCATCTTTCCACGTGGACTGAGCACCGATCATGTGCCTTGTGTGCCAGGAATGCCATTCATTGTTTGCAGAGGAGAAGAACATGCAGGTGAACAGCTAGAACCCAGGCAGGCAGTGACAACATTTCAAAGAAAGTGCAGGTGAGGCCCTGCAACCAGAAAGGAAAGGGCCACAGCACCTTGGACTTAGTTGGACTGTTAGGAGCAGCAGGTGGGCCCTGGCCAGTTTTCTCAGTGGTTAGGGCATTGGCCCTCAGGCCAAAAGGTCTTGGGTTTGATTCCTGGTCAATTGCTTCTTGACTTCTGTCTCCCCGGGAGAGAAAAGTTTGCCCTTTGTCCATTCCTCCTCAGGCCCACCCAGTGCCCTCTGGAGGGCCCAGCTTTCCTGAGAAAGGTCGAGTGGGCGGATGCCCTCATCCCACCCGCAAAGCCCCCAGAACACTCGCGGGTGATGGGCGCCCGCTGACCCTGCAGGACACGCCCTAGAGGCTGCCGTGCCGAGCTGCACAGCTTCGGGGTGACGGGGTCTCCAGGTCCGGTGGCTGTGGTGCACTTGGTGAATCTCGGGAGGGCTGCTCTGAGGCCGGCACCGGTGTGTCCGGGGAACTGTGCCCGTGTGTGCCAGTGCTACCAAGCTCCTGAGCTCTCTGCACCCTCTGCTTCCACAACTGGCCCGTGCTTACCGACGCCACTGTGTGGGCCCTGCACGCGGGGCCTGGGTTGGCGGGCAGGGTGAGAGCAGGCGAGGACAGGCTGTCCCTGTCCCCTGGCCCCAGGACTCAGGCCGTGACCCCAGCTCCCGCCGTCCGTGCGTGCGTGAGAAAGAGGAGTCCTGTGTGCAATGGCCGTGTTTACGATGCCAAGGCGGCTCTTCTATGGCTCCCTGGTGGCTCGCAGCAGAATCTTGGCCTTGCCCTGCGGGGAGGGAGAGCTCCACGCCCACTTGGAAGCAGGGCTCTCTCTCTCTCTCTCTCTCTCTCTCTCTCTCTCTCCTTGGGCTGGGCTTCGGCTTCGGTGAGTCAGGCTGACTGTGCCTGGAACGGACTGTCTGCCAAGGAGGAGTCAGCCTGAGAACAGCTGGGAGAGGCAGCTTGCGGCTGGGGGACCAGCGGGTCTCCTCTCCTCGGTGCGCGCAGTGTCCCTGCCTCGGAGACCCGCCCTGCAGACCCCACCCGAGGCGTTCCGGGCGGGCGAGCTGCTGGATCCCGGGGGAGCTGGGCAGGAAGCCCTGCGTTCCCGCTGGCACTGGCGATCCTTGGTGCTGACCCGTCCCGCCTTCCTCCGAGCGAGGCCTTCCCATCTCTTCTCCGTGAGTCACAGACGCTGCAGATGGGTTTCGAGATAGTGAGGCTTGCAGTCCTGAGTAAGCAGATAGCAGGGGAGCTGCCGCTTCCTGGATGCGGCCTCCAAACCCGGACTCCTTCCACTGGCGAGCTCCTTCTCCAGGGGTCGCTAAATTCAGCTCCCACATACAAGGCACTGGCAGAGAGGGTGGGGTAAGCAGTCACCTTGCAGGGCTGACTTCAGTCGGTGGGGCAGGAAGTGCCTTTGAAGACCGCTCATCAGATGACGACCTTTCAGAGATGGGGTTGGTGGTGACTTATCCCCGGTCACCAAGTTGGGATGGAGTCACCCCAGAACGCAGGTCAGCTGGCCCTGGGGGGTGTGAATGCCTCCTCTCCAATGACTGCCTTCGCACCCACAGCACCTGCCACACAGCACCATGCCATGGGCCTGACCTCCCACAGCACCTGCCACACAGCACCACTCCACGGCCCTGACCTCCCACAGCAAACAAACGAGAAGACACCCTGCTCCCAGGGTTGGCTCAAGAGATCCAAGGTCAGCGAGTCAGGCGCTGTCCTCACCCCAGTCACAGTCACGTGGCGACAGACAACAAAGTGTCCGAACAAGGATGGGATGTGTTCTAATGATGCTGCAATAAATTTCACAATAGCTACAACTATTTCGCTATAAAATATGTACCATCAATCTGAGTGATTATGGCAAAGCGTTCCCACAGCACCTGCCACACAGCATCACACAAGGGGCCTGACCTCCCACAGCACCTGCCACACAGCACCACGCCACGGCCCTGTCCTCCCACAGCACCTGCCACACAGCACCACGCCACAGCCCTGACCTCCCACAGCAAACAAACGAGAAGACACCCTGCTCCCAGGGTTGGCTCAAGAGATCCAAGGTCAGCGAGTCAGGCGCTGTCCTCACCCCAGTCACAGTCACGTGGCGACAGACAACAAAGTGTCCGAACAAGGATGGGATGTGTTCTAATGATGCTGCAATAAATTTCACAATAGCTACAACTATTTCGCTATAAAATATGTACCATCAATCTGAGTGATTATGGCAAAGCGTAATGTTAGCATAAAGGTTTAACAAGGTGCATGATGCAAGCACAGAGGAGGCTCAGGGTGGGAGCTGGCTCTTCCAGGACGTCTGGCCCGGGGCTGTGGGGTGAAGGGCCTGTGGGCAGAGGTGAGGGCACAGGGCACACGTAAGGTGGGTTGGAGGAAGGTTAGGATTGGGGGGGCAATGGGGAGCAGTGTCTCCTGGGAGGGCCAGGAACTGGCAGGACCCCACAAGACATCCGAGGCCGTGAAAAGTGCGAGGGGCTCTGGCCGGCTCGGATCTGCTCTGCAGAGGTAGCTGTGGGTGCACCCAGGGCGGCCAGGAGGGCAAGGACCCGGTGGGCCGTGGGCAGGGCGGCCCCGGCTGTGGTCCAGGAGAAAGGGGCTGAGGAAGACAACAGCATGCTGGAGAACCAGCTTGGGTGGCCGAGGGGTCCGGCTGGGGCAACGAAGGGTCGTGACACCAGGAACAGAAGGGACAGGGAGAGGTGCTTTAGGGAGATAACAAGAGCCTTGCTTGTGGGGCGGCTTGTGGGTGTTTTCAGGATGCCCTGAGGTCAGGCTCCCGCAGCAGGATGCACAGCGCAGGCCCCAGAAGAGGGGTGGGGGCTTCAGAGGCAGCTTGTGAGGGAGACTGATGCACCCTCCCCCCCCCCCCCCCCCCACAGAACTGGGGGTAGAGACCTTCAGGGGCACCAGAGGGAGAGGATGCTGGGGAGGCTGCCCACAGTCTGTGAGGGGCACATGCGGCGCTGGCTGGCAGTGCCCCCTGCTGGAGGGAGGACCGCCCTCAGAGGAGACAGCAGGACCTGGACTTGGCAATGAGGAGTGGCCAGGCCACCTCAGGAAGGCCCGGGCCCCTGGGAACAGTCTTCCGCACGTGTAGAGAGGCAGCGAGGGTGCCGGGAACGGGGACTGATGGTGGCCCACACCTCCCACCCTGCGTGCCAGGCCCGTGCGCTTTATATGGAATTCACTGAAGGCTCTCAGAAACCTCCTGCAGGAGGCACCCTCACTCCCACGTGTTCAACAAGGACACCCCGAGCTCAGGGAGGGGCTTCTCGGTGACACAGCAGGGGGCAACGGGATGGGAATTAGCCCCAGGGCCCCGTCTGAAGCAGGCCACCCGTCTCTCCTGGGGGGCACAGAGTCTGCAATGTGTGGGAGGACATCTCTGAGACTATTTCCTATGAACGATGAAAAAGGGAGTAGGAAACTGTCCCCTGTAGTGCCCTGAGGACGCGCACCCCATCACTGCCTCCAGCTTTAGTTCCCAAAATTAGCCTCAGAAAGGTGAACACTTTGTAAAACTCAAAACGCTTTACAGAAACAATGACACCTAAACCTATCTTATCAGGCACTCTTTTTCTCGAATGACCCAGATAAAACATGCTACTTTTGAAATGTTTGCGTACGTATATCCATGCATGTTCAGAAGAATGCAAAAACCTGACTGAGCTTTGGAAAGAATCCTGCCCGATCCACTTCCCAGCCCCAGAGATCTCTGGGAATCCTGGTTGCAGCAGACGCTTGAGATGTGGTTGCTTTAGAATAGCCAGCAGCGCCATGGCCCTGGCGTAGAGGGTCTGCTTCTAGGCACTGCGATATCCCAACTCTTGGGTGGCTGGGGCCTTGGCCAGCCCATCCCTTTGGCAACGAGGACAAGGCCCCTTCCCAAGCTCTGGCTTGTTACTTTTAGCCCATTCATACTCTCAAACTTCAGCCCCATGTGACTAAGACTGACCTCCGCTGGGAAACATGTCATATGTTGCAACCAACTCTCACGCACTCAGGCTTTGCCCGGTTCAGGTAAAATGGCTCCAAGAAGCATGACAGGATGAAAGAACGACCCCAGCCGGACAGGCGGTGTGGCTGCGGGTAGTCAGTGTCCAGGCCAGGAGGGACCAGCTATCCTGGTGGTGACCCGGCAAGTGCTCATTTGGACCCAAGGCTCTGGGTCCCGAGGGCAGCGGTGCAAGTCTGCAGGATGGGCTCCAAGGGCGCCAGGCGACACCCTCCACCCGAGGACACAAGTCAGGACGCGCATGACAACACACAAGAGCTGAAGAAGAATGGAGAAATGATCAACTTGGCGGACCAACGGAAGAGGAATGGACCAATAGCCCAAGGACAAACCTTGCTGTTAAATTTCAGCGGCCCCACCTCCCACCCTCGCACTAAAGACACTTTTGTCTGATTCTCCTGCTGATTCAGACAGAAGGACACCATGGTGAGCTCCACAGAACAAGCACGCAGGGCTGTCTAGGGGCCAATGTGGAGAGCGAGAGGCAGCACAGGCTCGGAGGACAGTGAGGCTTACTGGTCGGGCCATTCCTCCTGGAAAGCGTGCAGCCACCTCTCCTCCAGGCCCCAGCACTCCCAGAGCGAGGAGCCATCAGCCAGCCAAGCCGAGCCCCAACCTTTGAACGTCCACCTTTTCTTGTCTCTGGGCCTCCTTCTTGCGGGTGGGGCCAGGTGGTCATAGATCAGTCAGGGGAAGGGTATCTGATAGACTGCTCCTCTCACCCTCCGACTCACCCCCCATCTGACCTCAAACACCTGGGAGCCCCCAGGGCTCAGGGGACAGCAGACACAGAAGTCAAGGCCAACCTCCGGACCTGCACGGTTACGCTCGTGAGACCCAAGTCGTTACTGAGAAGAATGCAGTAGAGGTGTTCCGCTGGTCACCAGGCAGGACCCTGTAGCAGGACGTCTCCCTGTGGTGTTAACAGGGAGACCCTGTCAGCCGTGGGGGCCTCCCAGGAGTCCCTACCCTCGGACGGTCGGGGTGAACCATGCTCACCCTAAAGCAGAGGGGGCTGGTGTTGCCTCTGGAAAATGGGTTAGATATTTTCTCCCCAAAGGAACGCCCATCAGACGCTTCCCAAAAGAAACCTGTGCCTCCCAGCATTTTGCTTTTGAGATCGGAGCTTCTAATTCCATGAGACACAAATGCAAGCAAACCGAGTGACATGCTTTGTCTGCACTGAATCCAGAGGGATCTGTGAGGGGGTGGGCTCGCAGCACCAGTGACCCGCAGCGTCGCCTCCCTCCCTCCGTGCTGCGTGTCACCTGCCTGGGCGAGCGTGCGCTGTGGCGTCTGAGGGGACTCCGCTGGCCTGGTGTCCTGACCGCTGGGCTGAGTGGCGTCACCTGGGGGAGGGCGGGTCCCCGGCTGCAGATGCTCCCTGGAGTCTCGCAGCTCTGACCCCCACTCGAGAACTTAGCGTGATGCCCTTGCCCCAGACGGCACTCTCAGCCCCAGGACCCAGTAAGGAGACACAGAATTGTGTCCATTTTTGCTCAATTTAAAAAGATTCAATATTCCTGGGTTAAAACCCCACATTTACAAATTACAGTTTATTTAAAAGAATCTTATGGAATTTACTTTGTTTTCAAAATTTTTTGAATAGTAAAAAAACAACAACACCTGAATCACTCAGTGTTTCCCTAAACAGAGAGTTCTTACAGAAAGTGGCCCGGTGAGGACTGATGCGCATGCTCCCCGTTCCACAGGAGCCCGAGGGGGACCGTCTCCCAGGCTGTGTGGCCTTGAGAGAGCGCACGTCCGTGCCACAGGCTGTGACTCACTGGCTCTTAGCTCCTCCCCGCTGAGGACTGTGGGAGCAAAGCCTCTGAAAACAAACAAACGTTCCCCAGTGTCAGGTGTCATGCCAGGAGGCGCTGACATGTGCCGGCTCTTGGCTCTGCTGCAGCGGGTGTGGCCCAGGCCTGATGCTGGGACATCCTGCAGACCTGTGGTCAGTGTCTGAGCCACAGCTGGTCCTGTCTCCCTGGGCTACACTTTCCCCATCTATGAGATGGGCTGGTCCTACCTGCCCGCAGGCGAGAGAAGACCTGCACAAGGTGGGTGCTCATTAGCATGAAGGAATCAGCAGTGAACACAGGGCCAGCAGTGTGGCCACCGGCGGGAGCAGGACCAGACCTGCTCTGTGCCACAGGGACTGACTTCACTGGGTTTGGGGTGACTTATACGCAGCAGTTTAAAGAACTCATGTAGCCCGATTTTATGGTATAAATACAAACAAAGTTTTCTTTGAAATGCAACTGCTCCACCACAAATGTCTGTCATTCCTGGGTGTGCATGGAGCCTGCTGTGGACTCAGGAAACACAGGGTGGGCACAGCAGGACAGGTGGGCAGTGGCCTCGGTGCCTTGGGTGTTTGTAGATGTTTGGTATTTATATTTTATATACATAGTGTACACATATGTGTGTGCATATATCAAACATCACATATTACACATATGAATATACATACACATATATCCCCCCCCACACACACACATTCTTGTCTAAAAAGGGTCACCTTTTGTCTGCTTCATTCTTCTTGCTCATTTCCGCTCCACACAGTCCCTCAGGACTCGGCCGTGGGAGGATCACCTGGGACCTCCCTCCCAAGGAATCTTCTCTTGCTGCTGGGAATGTGGGCCGAGAGCAGGCCTCTTGCTGACCATGCATGACCCTCCAATGCCACACCCCTCCCGCCTTCCCTCTCACCTCTGTCACCCAGTCACCTGTGGACTGAAGGTGTTTCACACCAAGAAGGCGGGCGGGAGCAACCCCACACCACAT